AAAACGCATGATTTCAGCGCGATTAACATGATAATCAGAACCAAAACAGATGTTTTAGCAGGTAAGAGCTGTAATGGTGCAGCTCTATTCTGGAAAAGGGGGCGGGGAGCAGCAGCTCATTTGCATTTAAAGACACAGGCCCGAAAAACAGCGTGTTTCTGCTTCCACTCAAAATAGGCATTTTCAGAATGATATAATAAATGATCTGTGGAGTATTTTGAGCTGAAACTTCACAGACACATTCTGGGGACACCAGAGACTTATATTACAAATTGTAAAAAGGGGCATAATATGTCTCCTTTAAAAACAATTTCATTAATAAATTATTATTAATATATTAAAATGACTGATCTAAATAAAAATACTAAAAAACAAATATAATCAAACACATATTTTCATTTATTCAAATATTGTTAGAATAATTTAAATTTATAATAATAATTTATTTTAAGGGGGGCCTTCGAGACAAAAAGGTTGAGAACCACTGTAAACTGTGATGTCAAAGACAGCAGACAAAATGCTAAAAAATAAAAACAAAATATTATGCTGTAATATATTATATAATATTCAAATATATAATAAAAGGGGGTCTAAGGGGTAATGAAAGATTTCGGGGCCCAGTGGTGCCATTCTAACCAGCCAAAAATTAACTACTTGATTCCACCTCCCATAAAAATCTTTGCATAAATTAAATGATATAAAATGAATCTTCATACACATTGTCAGAATTTGACAGGTTGGATGATGAGCAAGACAAAACCAGTTCTCACATTTAGAAACGCAGGATCTTTGGCTTTCATTTGCTCCTCGATGTCTTTAATCGTGTCTGAAAGAGCCGAGATCTGTGTGTTCATCTCCTCCAGCTTCCGCTTCATCATCTGAATCTTCTGCTCCTCTTCCTCCCACAGTGCAGTGACTATTGCCTCTTTTTCATCAATGAGGAACTGATGAAGCTTCTTGAACTCCTCATTCATTCGACACTCTGTGTGCTGAGCTTGAGTCTCAAAGAAAAACAGAAATAACATTCAGTTCAGTTCTGTGTTCAGTGTGCTGAAGGTACAGTATTTGACAGTGTTTCTTCACCTGGATGTGTTGAACTGCTTCCTCACACTCTCCTTTGACTTCCTCTGTGTGTTTGAGCTTTTCTTGTAAGGACTTCAGCTTGATAGTGAGTTCCTCCTAGAATTTAACCAAGAAAAAAAGTGTGAAAATCCCACTGCATGTTATACCCCTAGTACAAAATATCCATAAGGAATGTCAACAAGATTCCTTTTTTTTTCTCTCCAAGATATATCATATAAACACATTAAAAATAAATATATAATGTCTTTATTACTTTATTATAATTTACGTTATATATATATATATATATATTATTTGTATAGCAAGGTATTTCTTCTTACCTTGTAAGATGGAAGAACTTCACTGATTGTCCTGAATTTGTGATGAGTGTGTTTTTCTGAATCTCTGCACACTAAACACACAGACTCTCTGTCCTCCACACAGAAGAGTTTGAGTTTCTCACCATGCAAATCACAAACCTCCTCAACGTTCAAGAAGGACTCGCACAGGTTCTTTAACACAAGATTTCCAGGAGGATCCGATTTTGAGGATCTTCTCCTGCAGACCGGACACTCCTGAGTTCTCTTGGTTCTCCAGAACTGTTGAAGACAGTCTTTACAGACGCTGTGACTGCATGACAGAAACACAGGAGATCTGAAGATCTCACAGCACACGGGACAAGAAAGCTCTTCCACAGATATTGACTCCATTTTCAGTTTGTAAGAACTCCAAAAACCCAGCTCGACAGGCTATTCAGACATAAATGCCTCAAGCATTTCCTCATTGTTTTGCTCAGGTACTTGAGAGATGCAGCATGGCAGGAACAAAGAAATAAAGCCACTTCCTGATATGTTTTATAAGAGGGTGTTTATGATGATCCTTTAAGCATAATCAAACTGAATGCACTGAAAGGTTCATGTTAGAATATTATAGTGTGCAAACACATCACCACACCCTAAAACAAACTAGCACAGCGTTTAAGCTACTCATTTGCAACAAGAATATTTTTAAATGATTACTTTTTAAAAGAAAAGTATTTTCCCTCCATGCATGAGACCTGGTTATACATTATGCATGCATTTGTAAAAGATCGTTTTTGACTGTATATGACATAAACATCAAAATGACAAACTCCAACAAATAGGTCAACATTTGTAATAAACATCATTTTTTATGTAAGACATGTTTAAATACAGCCATCCATATTCATTCATTCATTCATTCAGTTAGAAACTGTGCAAAAGTGTCTAAAATCCTTCTGGTGAGAGAACAGTGCACTGTCGCTATATACATTTCATGATTTACATAAAAAGCAGTACATATTTCAAACTGAAAGATTCACATGCACACTTCATCCAAACTCTTTTTCAAACTCAAACTTACATTTAAAATAAGCAAAACAAATAACTAATTTACATAAATAATCACAGAATATCCAGTGCTAAAATGCGTTGAACTCATCTGTTAATAGACATTTAAAATTACATGATCAAAAACCTATGAAATACATTAAAAAATATATCTCTTCATTGCCAGTATGAAAATAGTCCATGTGTGTCAGAAATAGTCAACATGTCAAACATAAAACAGTATGCAATATGCAGTGATAATGTTTTAACTAGTAGTGTGTTACATTATTATTACATTACACCTCACTGTGTTGCATGTTATCTTTGAAATAAATACAGATATGTTACGTTTTTTAAAAAGGCTTGAGATTGATACTGGTTTATTTGTCACACTAGCAGTGGTGTGTCTGATACAGTATCTGAACATACTGTAAACATATACGCGTGGTATGCTATTCCAAACATAAGCAGTGATGAAGAGACACAGTGGAATGATCAAGAGCTGATTTAAAGACAACATGAAATCAGTCGATTCAGTCTTTATAACTTGTCCATATCTGACATGATTTGTCTGTTCTGTTCATGCAACCTAAGTTAACATCATAACTTAACATGTCTCACCCAATTAAAGTCCTGTGCTGTATTATTTCCCACTGAACTTTGTTTCACCTTCAGTATAATAAAATAAAACATTTAATATTTATGTTCAAATGTGTGCTCTTCATTGGACAATTTGTTGTGGAATGAAATACAAAATAAAAGAAATAAAAAAAATTACATTTTTTTGCTTTTCATCGGATAATAAATGATGTTGACAAAATAAAATAAAATTCAAAGATATTTAAACAATATTTTATATTTTTGCTTTTCATTGGATAATGGGGTATGTAGGATAAATAAAATAAGAAAATAAGAAATACAAAATTAATATATTTTTAAATGTTTGCTTTTCATCAGATAATGGGTTATGTGGAATAAAGTAGCCTACATAAAATAAAATATTTTTTCAATTTCTGCTTTTCATTGGATAATGGGTTATGTGGAGTAAAATATAATTTATATTAAACCGGATAATGTGTAGTATGGGATAAATAAAATAAGAAAAAAAATAATAATGTTTTTAAATGTTTGCTTTTCATCAGATAATGAGTTATGTAAAATAAAATAAAATATATATTAAATTGGATAATGGGTTAAATAATTTAAATTATTTTAAATAAAATAAGAAAACAAAATATTCATTGGATAATGAGTTATGTGGAAAAAATATCTATATCCATCTAAAAGGAGAGGAAAGAGAGCCAGAGTTGCCAAATCCGCGTATTATACGCGACTTTGGGCTTCTTTTTTTGTGTAAAGTTGCGTGAAAAAATCCCAGGTCGCGGGTTGCGGTTTTTTGGGCTTATTTTTAAAAATATGGTTGCTTGTTAGGGAAATCTGACAAGCAACTTCGTTTCTTTATTTATGTTCGCCGTATTCTCCAATGCATTGAATGACACGCTGTCTGCTCGCAGTTAATAGCCAACCAGTGCAATAATATAAGTGCTGCAGCGTAATTTGCCAAATGTCCCGCCCCCTCCTCCTCCTCATTGGAGAAAATCAGTTCAAAAAGAAGGCGCGTGACGCTGTAATAATATCATTTAATAATAATATAATTCAAGCGATGACAGAAGTAGACGTAGAGGAGTGACTTTCTTTTAGCCTATTTTTTTATTTTTACAATGTTTTTGTAATGTATTAATTATCACGGGCTGTAATAAAAAACAAGTAGTCCTATAGATAGGCCTACTAATATTAAGAGTAAATATGGTTCGAATAGCCTATATTTTAGTTGGCCTATATACAGTGTGTGGCTATGTTACAGCTCCCCTTTGAAGCTCTTGTGTTTTTCTCCTTTTCCATCTCTCCAATCCTATTCTGCACACAGGTGATTGGAGATGAGTTTTGTTCATTTATTTTTTATCGAGACCCAAATCCGCACCCTTTGGGTTACAAGGTTTGGGAACTTTTCACACTATTTGGACTGATCAGCTCCTTCCCACGCGGCTCTTCTCTCCAAAAATATAAGCTATTGCAAAAAAAATCTTATTTTCTTATTTTATTTATCCCACATAACCCATTATCCAATGAAAAGCAAAAATATAAAATATTGTTTAAATATCTTTGAATTTTATTTTGTCAGCATAATTTATTATCTGATGAAAAGCAAAATTTTTTTTTTAATTTTTAATTTTATTTTGTATTTCATTCCCCAACAAATTGTCCAATGAAGAGCACACAAGTCAAAACATTCCCCTCAGTGTGTGCGCAAATATCTACGTAGTAACGTGACACTGATGGGCAAAACAGATAAACAGGTGTGTTTGGTAATGAATACAGTATTCATTTGAGCCAAGAGAGCTAAAAAAAAAAAAGATATGGTACATGTAGTGCTGTTTCTTCTTTGCAATAATGAAATAACTAAATACCCGAAACAATAACTGAAGTTTATTATAAAATAATGCATAGATACTATATAAATAATGCAAATTTGGACCATAAATTATCCTAAAATGGCCTAAAATGTTGTTATTGTTAACTAAAGCTATATTAAAACAGTTTTGTTAATTGAAATAAAGCTGAAATAAAATAAAATATAAATATTAGATCAAAACCTAATCTAAATGAAAATAAGAAAAAAAGTTGGAGCACTAAAATGACTAAAACTAAACTAAATACTGAAATAAAAATAAATAATAATAAAAACTAATTTAAAAAATGACAAAATTACTAACAATTAAACTAAAAAAATATAAAAAATAGAAGCTAATTTAAAATATTAATAAAAAAATATAATTCTATAATACTAAAATAACACTGACTGGCACCTGTATACTGTATCTGGAGGCACAACTTTTTGTAAATGTAACTGTTTCTACCAGTTAAAGCTTCCTATAGTGATTAATGACATTTCCATACACCTCATTACTGGTAGTTTCACCTGTATTCACCTGATTTTTTAACGGTTTTAGTTTCAGTTAACTATAATAACCCTGACGTTAACGCTAGTTTTTTCACTATCCACATTCATTTATTTTGAAGATGTTCTAGTTAGTATTTTTCAGTGATAGTAAATGTGTTATCTTACTATGTGGATTACCAGAAGCTTCACTTTTTTTGTCAAACCAACTCAGCATTTGTGTAGTGCAGCAATTTCCAGTCAACAAACATAGTGACACAAAGAAGTGTTTGAGCAAATAGACACAATAGTGACATTAAGAAGTGCTCTAGTGACACCAAGTGGTCAGTCCATCTTAAAACCGGCCACATTCTCACATTTTATGAAGTACATTGCAAACAAACTTTTGCTTTTCAATCTTTACATTGATGGATCAGTGAGACTTCAACAACATTACAGTGCTGCCCATGTCTCTCAATTACACAAGGTCTGCCAGAAAGCAAGCTAATGAACTTCAGTGACTTTTTCAGTTGTTTGTGCAATTCTTCTCAACCAAGGGGGCCTCAAGATGACTAAAAAGTACTTAAATAATAATAATAGTAAAAAACTATTATTAATGTATTAAAATGGCATATGCAAAAATACACAAAATCAAAATGTAAACTGAAATGCATTTCTTATTCCTAACGCAAAATAAAAAGTATTTCACCTCTCGATAATGTTTTTAACTAAATAACATACAGTTCTTGTAAATGTCCGCAATATCACAAAAAGAGTGGTTAATTTAATTGTTTTTATTTAAAGTAGTCAGTTTAATAGAGAAATATATCCCTATTTCTGTTAGTAAACAGTTTGAAAATGATCAGTTTCAGCAGAAATACTAGAAATACAAATTTAACGCTCATATGTGGTGGTGTACAGAAAATAACAAAATCAAGTCACCTGAAATGTCTTCTTGCATTGCACACAAAAGAACCACCATATTTCAACGATTCTGGGGTCGTTGGGTTTATTCATACAGAATGAAGTTAGCAACACATTTACAAATGGTGAAGAATGTGACACATCGCACAATAACAAGTGGTCACGTGACATTTTTATCAGGGTTCTGTAATAAGTCTCTGTCTATGTCCCCAGGACAATCCGGCTGGAAGATGAAACACGGCGGCCAGAGGACACTGCAAACGCCAGTGGATCATCCAACAGGGTCACATCAGGAAACGGGATGATGGTAGAATGAACGCTCCACAAGATGCATCATTATTCTTCATCCTTCTGCTCATAATTGTGTTTGATGTGTTTCCAGAGTTTCTACAAAAAGAAAATAAACAACTGAATGACAGCAGCACACAGGGTGAGCAAAACACATTGCAGATATATTCTGATTTATACTCAAGATTTATATACAGATAAATATGAATTAGCATTACAGCGTAATGGCATTAAACTGTTTATATAAGATTAGGTGATGATTATAAAGACGAGCTGAATATATTTATATCAATATAACACTAAATACATGTCCTATATTTTCATCCCTCTGAATATTTAGTTGTTGTTAGCCAGCAGGCTAATCAAGGTCAGTCTACCGGTGGGTCATGAGGAAATCCACCGAATTCAATCGAAAAATAACTTACCCCCCGATTTATGTTGTCAAATACCGCTTCTCCAGCCTGATCAAACACCCTCTCGAAGACAACGGCTCCCACCATGATGGTTATAGCGAAAGTTGACGTTCTTCTGAAGAGCAGATTGTAGACACTTCTTGTGAGCGCCATGATGGTCAACGCAGTCGAGTCTTCCGGAAGAGTGGGCGGAGCGATGAGCTGTCAATCAAACCCCTCGACCAACGAGGCTATTCCATTAAAATATTTATTTAAGAGAAATACATTTTAAAGCAAAGCGAATACATTTTAAATGTATTTATTTTTATGTTTTTATTTATTTTTACTACAACGTAAACATATTTAAACACGTACAATTATCACGTCTAATAAACAGAATGGTTTGTAACAGAAATCCGACATTGGAAATTAGTATATTCCCTGTGTTTACTATATAATTTACTATTTTATTTCTAAATAGTCAACATTTGAGTGTAATATTGTAGTAATTTAATCAATTATGGTTATTAGGCACCCCCTATAAGAAGCGAATGGAATATTCCTGCCCCTCTCCCGCAGCCGTTTAGTTTCCTCCGTAACCCGGTAGATTTTCCCACGTGACCGCTGCGACTTCCTTTCTTGTGGCAGCCATCGACAGCAATGGTGAGGATTTTACCGAAACCGAACAATCTGAATCAATCCTGTGTGTTATACATGTGAAACGACCCCGAGAGAGAGTTTGAACTACACCTCGAGTTGTGCGCTAGAGTTTGAGCACGGCATTTGAAATGATGATCTTGTAATAAAGTGAATTTTGAGTGATGAAGCGATGCATTGGTGGCTGAAGTCCAGTAGTGCTCTTTAGCTTGTTAGCGGCGCGGACAGCTTTAATTGCAATTATGAATACATAAAGTTAATATTATGGAGTTGCTTTTGGATATTGTGGCTTTCAGCCGTCGAACAGAAGCGACAGTTGTAACCTGTTTAGACGGAACGAGTGTGACTGATTTGCGTTCCCGAAGCATTATTATCAGAAAGCCCTGATATTCGTAGGCAATTGATTCTGAAGAAAAACAAACTTCAATAACTATGTATTTGTAAGTTTTTGATAGTCGTGCACAGTTCCAGTAGTCCCTTGTAATAGTTCTTTTATTAATACAACAATGGTTTGATGTGATTAAACGCTAATGAATAATGTGTGTTTTGTAGGCAAAGATCAAGGCCAGAGACCTGCGCGGAAAGAAAAAGGAGGAGCTGCTGAAACAGCTGGATGATCTGAAGGTGGAGCTTTCCCAGCTCCGCGTTGCCAAGGTTACCGGTGGAGCTGCATCCAAACTCTCCAAGATGTGAGTGATGGGATGGATTTAAAAGGACTAACTTTATCACGTATATTATTGTATACAGCGTTGGGGGTAACGCAGTACTAGTAACGTGAGTTACGTAATCGGATTACTTTCCCCCCAAGTAACTAGTAAAGTAACGCATTACTTTTTAATTTACAAGAGAATATCTGAGTTACTTTTTATATTATATTTTAAAAAGGTCTTAAAGTCTTCACCCTTCTACAAGTTCATTAATCAGTAGAAAGCTGCATGCATTTCCTCAGTGTTTTTGTCTTGTTTTTTGGTGCAAATATCTACATTTTTAAGAGCAGTCAAGAACGAGTTACAAAATTAAGCAAAATTGAACCGAGTTTATGCTTAAAACAAGAACGAACATCTATTAATGGGGTATTAACCTTTTTCCCTCTGATTTAACTTTTTTTTTGCCTCCGCCCCTTGGCAGATATGTTGTTGTTGTTGTTTTTTTTTTCAAGCGTAAACTCATTCTTGATTAGTTTTATCAGAAAACAAGACTTAAAGTCTTATGGCATTTTACTTTTCAAGTAAATGCATTTTGATATGAGAATCTTTATACATTTGCTCTGGAAAACAAGACGTCAATACTAAGGAAGAACACAGCGTGATCAGACGCTAAAGTAAAAGGTATTTCCATGTTCTAGTGGTTGAGAGCAAAGCCTTTTAAGTGTACCTTCATAAAACCTGCAGAAACCCTGTGCGTGTGTGTATTCTATACATTGAAAACATGTTTTGAAATATTTTGCGGCCTTATTTCTTTTGCGCTTCAGTCATAAATTTAGTTCTGGAATTAGTTGAAGACGTTGAAGAATTAAATGGAAAGCATCATTCTAATGATTATTTCCTCTCTTTTCAGCCGCGTTGTCCGCAAGTCCATCGCCAGAGTCCTCACAGTTATCAACCAGACACAGAAGGAGAATCTGAGGAAGTTTTACAAGGTCAGTTTAATGCCGCTGATCACTTAAATGCACACATGCTCTTTTGCTACAGGTAACACCTTGAAGTCATTTTGTAGATTAGGTCTAATTTAAAGATAGTGAAAGCCTGTTCAAATGATCTTGACCGCAAAATTGTCTTTCAGACAGATACATTTAGAAGAGTTTGATCAAGCTGATTTTTGATAAACAGCAGTGTTTGTGATTTTAATGGAAAGCTGAAATGGCCATTAGTTTCATGTTACAGTCATTATAGTATTCAGATGACATGATTTGTTATGAGACACAAACTACAGAGCGTCCGTTTAGACTCCAGCAAGATGATCACCCAGCACTCCTCCTGCTGAAGTGGAGCTAGTGTGAATATTCTCTTGCTAAAGAAATATGACCGTTCATGGCGGAGTCTTTAAATGATTCTCATCTGCTGTGAGCAGCCGACAGCACCTTTATATCGTGTCATTTAATGAACTTCAGCTGTAGTCCAATTCAAAAAGACAGTTTACTAGAGAACCCAGTTACTGTCTTTGAAATTTAACACCTAGTCTTTTATTTATATATATATATGTGTATATATAATTTTTTTTAATGTACATTGTTATAACACTATACTTTCCATTTATATTACCTTGCCATTTACTTATTTTTACTGTTTGGCACTTGGATCCCATTTCTAAATCGACCCTTTTCATATTTCTGTGTTTCTCAGAAGCACTCATCTAAATAGAACTAATTTGTGTTCCCATTTGTTCCAATAGAAAAAGAGAAAATCCACAATAGCATTTCTATGATGTTCCAAAAGAGGAAAACAATTGAGAGATTGATTACACTTTTTAAATTCCTTGTTTTATTTTTGTGATTATTTTTTTTTTATTATTATTTTACTTTCTTTTATGTAAAGCACTTTGAATTACCATTGTGTACAAAATGTGCTATATAAATAAACTTGCCTTGCCTTACACTAATCAGAAGAGAGAAAGATGTTAAATTTGCCGTCACTTCCTCAGCCGTATTAGAAACACTCAGTGCAGCATTAACTAGATTTCTGAAATGAAATGCCAAGTTTAATATAATGTAAAGTAGTGTTACAAATGTACATTACATTTTTAAATAAAAAATATAAACTATAAATATAAAACAGGTTTAAACATAACAATTTAAAAAATAGAAATATGCACTAAGTGTAATTTAGTTTTATAGATTTAGATTTGTTAACTGTGGAAACGGTCATTAGTCTGTGAAAAGGGTCCATGTACTTTTATTATGGAGGGTTTTACAGCTGTGTTTATTTAAGGAATGATCAGTCTCCGCACTTCCTGTTCTCCAGCTGCTGCTTGTAATGTCCGTCTAGTAGATTCTAACAGTCCTGCTCTCTTCATGTTCAGGGTAAGAAGTACAAGCCTTTGGACCTGAGGCCCAAGAAGACTCGTGCCATCCGTCGTCAGCTGACAAAACACGAGCAGAACCTGATGACCAAGAAGATGCAGAGGAAGTCCCGCCTCTACTCCATCCGCAAATTCGCCGTCAAGGCTTGAGAGGCTGTACTGTTGTTTATCACTGAAAAAATAAACACCCCACCCTGGAATTCAGACGCCCGAGTCTGTGTATGTCTCTGAAGCAGGAATAGGGTTTCTTGGGAAATATGATGGAAGTGATGATTGCGTCTGGAACTAGCCTTATCTGTTTGTGTTTTTGACATTAGTTATAACTGGGATGCTTTTTTCCACTGGAAGTCTCTGCATTACAGCTTTGAATATGTTAGATTTGAGTTATTTAAAGGAGACATATTATGCCCCTTTTTACAATATGTAATATATGTCTCGGGTGTCCCCAGAATGTGTCTGAAGTTTCAGCTCAAAATACCCCACAGATCATTTATAATACAATTTTGAAAATGCCTATTTTGAGTGGAACAGCTCGCTGTTTTTTGAGCCTGTCTCTTTAAATGCAAATTAGCTGCTGCTCCCCGCCCCTTTTCCAGAATAGAGCTGGCCATTACAGCTTGTACCTGCTAAAAAACATCTGTTTTGGTTCTGATTATCATGTTTATCGTGCTGAAATCACGCGTTTTAAACCATACGAGTTTAAACTTCTGATATACGGTTTTCTGAGAGCACACATCCGAAGCACACGGACAGAAAGCGGCTGTCACAGCATGCGAGTACTAAACTAAGTTCTCATTCACACACAAGTTTACGTTAAAAACACACACTAGTTACAAAAACAGTCGGTTATTTCTGTGAAGGTAAACAGCTGGGAAATAAATCGCATGTTTATTTTAGATCTGTGTGGCAGCAGCGTTATACAGTAAATAAATCAATAAATCCACTGCTCTGTTGTCCCCTCTGAGGCTGGGACTCTATAAACAGTGTTCTGTGCTCGTCTGTGCAGCCAAAGGCAGAACAGTTGGCATGTTTTGCTCAAACTTTCGCCATGGCATTAGAACTAGTACACCGTTGTGGCTTGCGAAATCAAATGACGGCGCCGTGGGTGGAAATTGTCAGATTAAGGGGCGGTAATATTATGAGATCCCTTTGTGACGTCACTAGGGGAGCGAAATCAGACGCGCTCGTTTTCTCAGACGCTTGCAGAAAAAGCCTTACCAAAACAAAGTGACTGAGATATCCTTTTTCATGTTTCCTTGGTTGGTAGATGCACCGGGGACCTGTGTCACTTTTAAGCTGGAGTGAAACTAAAACATTTAAGAACCAATTAAAAAATCTAAAACTAAATTTGAGTTAACCTTTTTCATTAGAATAACATTTGAATTAGAATTGATACATTTGGTTTAATAAGATGTATGTGCAGATAATCTTACAAATCTTTCAAATACTTTTTGTACGTTTTTATTTCAAGTTTGGCAATCCTAATTATGTGTTGAATTTATTTTGCTTGTGGGAAAAAATAGGTTTGTAATATGCTTTTTGCATGACAGAAAGCATGGGATAATTTTAGATACTCTATTAAAAATACTACATTTTATTCAAATCAAATCTGGCTTTTATTTTTTTAAAGGTTCATACATTGTGTGTTTTAAATAGAAATATAAAATATTTTCCAGATATTAAATTATTTTAAATATAAATTACCTCTCACCTTAGAACAGTAACATGACAAAATCTTATAAAAAAATTTAAAAAGCGTAACATATAATGGTATAATATAAAGTACAATATAAAACATTACAATTTAATTTTATAAACAACCTGTTTTCACACAGCCTTTATGGGTCTTAACACATGAAAATATATAAAATATATTTCCCTTTGTATTATAGTATCATTAAAATCACCTTCCATTGTCATCCACTTCGTTATTTTAGCAGTATCAAAATAGTCTGTTTTGCTGATCTGCTGCTTGATGTTGCAAACTGCTATTATCATTTTTTTATGTATTACCATAACCATAAACACTAGTTTGCAGTGAAAATAGTAAATAATTGATCAGAAATCTCACACATTCACAAATAGCTTACTTTTGCATTGAAAAACAAGGTGAATACCTTCTAAACAGTACAAAAAAAAATGCATACAAACTGCCAACAATCACAAAACAATTGAAACCTTATGAACCCAAACTGAAAGTTATTGTGGTGGTTTTCATGGATGCTCGTCTCATAAATATGTTCATTCAGACATGCAGAAGGCCGCATAACATTCACTGCGGAGGTGTGTGTCGGTGAGTTTATAATCGCTGATTATCTGTGTAAAACTGGATGCAGTTCCACAGCTGCTTTCATTCACCGTGGGTCACAATGTACTGGCCGTCCTCATGGTCCGTCATCTTTACTGTCCTGTTCTGTGTTTAAACTCACTTCTCTCCTCTGTGCTGTTTTCCTCATCCTCTTCTACATCCAGCTGCTCAGAACCGCTGGTGAGAAGCTTCCCATCAGGAGTGAACGCACAGCCATATGCCGAGTCCTTATGGCCCTAAAACACACACACACACACACCATGAAGCTTATGTAATCCTACATATGTTACTAGTCAAAGGTTCTCAGTCACCTGCAGCCTCTTCAGACAGACTCCAGTGGTCACATCCCAGATCCTCACCTGATAAACAAACATATCAATATCAAGCATTGCCACACAGACTGTGTGAATAAGTGTGTGTGTGTTTGTTTTACCATGTCGCCTTCAGCGGTGGATGCTAAAACCAGTCCGTCTCTGGAGAAAGCCAGACTCCTGACCCAAACACGCTCACAACCTCCCAACACAAACAGACATGCGTGACGCATCGGCAACCAAACACGCACTGTGCCGTCCCATGAGCCTGAGGCCTGAAACAAACACATTCATAGATATACTAGCATTCAAATGTTAGGAACAATTCAAATTTTATTTTTTGTATTTTTAAAAAAATGATTTTTAAGTCTCTTTTGCTCACCAAGACTGCATTTATTTGATCAAAAATACAGTAAAATGTTGAAATATTATTGCGGTTAAAAATAACACCTATTTGAATAATGGTTATTTTAAATTGTAATAATATTTTATCACGATCACATAAATGCAGCCTCTGTGAGCAGAAGAGATTCTTTCAAGAAAAACATCTTTTTTTTTTATCCTGATTCCTGAATCAAATATCGAAGCTCACTCTCGATAAGAAATCTGCTTTGTGAGCTCACCAGCATCCCACTAACAGAGAAACAGAGACAGGCCACGTTTCCCAGGTGCCCCTGTAATGTCACAGCCTCTTTTTCCTCAAGAAGTTTCCAGACTCTCACGGCCCGATCCCAGGAGCCCGTGGCCTGAACCCACAGAAAGAGGAGGTGAAGCAGCTCATGCTGAACGGATCAAAACAAACGGCACAGTGAGAAGATGGTTCATACCACACACTGTGAGTCTGATGAGAAGGCACTGCTCTGGACAGCTGCAGTGTGACCCCGCAGATCCTCCACCATCTCACCGCTCTGTGACATCAAACAACACCACAGAAACATCACTGCACAGATAGCATGGTGCTACATTCTTCAACTGGTGAGCTAAAACACCTGCTACTACATAAACAGAGTCCAAGATTTATGTCTTTAGTTCATTCTTAAGGTTACTGATATGAAAAACTTAACTGTAAGTATTCAATTTCATCAAAATGCTTGTCTCAAAACTATTTTTGTGTTATGGATATGAATGATACCTTGATTTTAAACCTCCATGGGGTTGCAAGAGGATGCTAAGGGATTTTGTTCCCCCAAAGTATTTTTAGAGCTGTCAAAATGTGCTAGATATTAATTAAATATGCTCAAAATAATATTTAGACATTATTTTCTTTCTAGTCAGAAATCATAAGATTAATCAGTTATTATAGTTTGTTATATTCTATTGACAGTCCTAATTTTATTTTAATAACAAATCTGTTTTTATTTTTAAAGCTGTATGTGTTGCTTGTATATTTTTTATTATAATTTTATATTTTTAATAGCAAATAATATTATTCATATTATTTATAAATAAATACATTTATATAATCATTTTCCAGATAATATTTAAATTAGTTTTGGCTTCAAAAGAGCAACAAAATAGATATTTTAAAAATATATTAAAAATAAATATTTAAAATAATAAATAAGAACATTATACACATACACACACACACACACACACATATACATATATATATATGTAT